TTTAACAGGCTACTTGCCCCAAGTAAAGGCTAGATGGATGAACTGCTTGATGGCACATGGTCTTGAAAGACAAGTGTTTTTGTCAAAAAGGTATGCCACTTTCTGTAAAGCCAAGATCTTTAAATGAGGGACTTCAGAAGAGCCATTGAAGATCACATCTGCTCCACTTTAAAGCAAGGAGTCAGAGCCAGCATGGTATGACACTCCATGTTCCTAGCACTTGGAAGGCTGAGGCAGGAGGATCACAAGTTGCAGGTATCCTGAGCTGTAATAGTGAGACTTTGTCTCAAAAACAAAAGGAAAAGTGACAGCCTAGAGAAAGAAGGTAGCTTGAGACTATAAGGTTATACACCCCTGCTCTTTATACCACATGTTGCTTCTTGTTTCTATCACCCCAGCACACACCAGGCCAGTGTTTGCTGTGTTGGAAATTGTGAGAATGCTCATGTTGTTACATACAGGCGTTTGCTTCATAATCTAACTGCTGGTTTCTGGTGGATAGGCTGTACCAGTGCAGGTCCTCATTTCAATCCTCACTCCAAGAAACATGGCGGACCAGCGGATCAAGAGAGGTGAGCAGCATGCTCCATATGCATGATGGTGGAGAGGCCACCTGTGAGACAGAACCCAGTGGTCTCCCTATCTCTGCTTTTGTATTTTCTTTCACTTCATAGCTTCCCTATCCACAAGTGCTGGAATGGTTTATTTTGGGTAAAGGAGTTGACAAATGGGGACTCTTAATGTGATTTAGTTTTGTAGCATTTATTGAAGATGAACTAATACAAGTGCCCAAAGGAATCAATACAGAAAATGTCAAGGATAACAGTACTGTTAGTCACTAGCAAAGTAAATCATTGTGTAATAAGACACTAATGCAGATAGATAATGAAAGCTAGTTGAGACCCCATGTATATGTTCAATCTCTCAGGAAAGTCCGAAATGTAAAGACTGGCTTGATTTTATACTGGAGGCCTGGGAGCAAAGCTTGGCTAATAAGTATGCTAACTCAAGAGCCGAGTTCATCCTTTGCCACAGTCCCGGAAATGAGAATATAGCCCAGACAGACCGTGACTCTTCTCAGAGCATACTTCTAAACTTAAACTGTGTGTTCAGGGTTTCCTAGCTACCTGTTTTAAAATGTTTCCAGATCTTTGTCAGTCTGGAGAAGTGGTCAGATTTGATATGTGCACCTATTAATCCACTGATATGTATTTGCCTTAGTCAAGATGTTAATGTAGCTCTTGAACTCTGCTAATGTGAATGAAGTAGTCATCAGTGCTTATCCGCTTGATGCTGTTCTGTTAGGCATGTTGGAGACCTGGGCAATGTGACTGCTGGAAAGGATGGTGTGGCCAATGTGGCCATTGAAGATCCTATGATCTCACTCATAGGAGAGCATTCCGTCATTGGCCGAACAATGGTGGTAAGTTTTCATATAAGAACATATATAGGATTTCTTCTAACATGGTTATATACCTTTCCATGACTTGATGATGGTCAAACTAGTTATTAAAGAATCACATAAACTGTAAGAGTTCAGAATAGGAAAAAAGGTTTTATTGGATATGATAGTGAAGAATTAATTTGCCTAGGTCAGTTAAGAACACTGTTCTGCTGAGATGCAGTAGAAAGAAGGTTACATTTGATCAGACTGGGTCTAAGTAGAAGAAACAGTAGTCTTTAGTTTAAAACAGCCAGATTTTCTTGCCATGATTGCCCCCCTTACAGTTAAACATTTCGTTGAGTGTAAAATCTGCGATGGATGTCAGTATTCAAGTCTGTAGGTTATCATCGCTTGGTTACCATATGGGAGCCGTCTTCCCAAGTTACCCTCGGGAGCTGAATCTGGTTCATGCAGAACAAGTAGTAAAGGCTCTTGCCCACCTCGGGCAGCTACCTTTTCAGTAGGCACTTCCTTTCAGTTGACCCTTTATCCTTAGAATTTTCTTCAGCCCTATTGGTGAAGCAGAACAGTCATTTATAAATGTTCTAAAAATAAAATTTAAAGTCTTGTTGCTAAATAAAGATATTTAGGACTGCCTCTTATTTGTAGGCCTATAGTTCACTGACGTGAGATTTTTAATAGCAAAAAAATTTGGGGTGTGTATGTGTGAGGCTAAAGTCAGCATGTGGCCCGTTACAGTCACTTGGGTCCTTAATATTTCATTTAGAAACAGCAACATTTACCTAGCTTTTAATGGTAATGTGTTTTTGCTACTAGCAAGGAAAAGCTTAGTTGTCTGCTCTTAAATGCTAGCATAAATGCAACATTTACCTAGCTTTTAATGGTAATGTGTCTTTGCTACTAGCAAGGAAAAGCTTAGTTGTCTGCTCTTAAATGCTAGCATAAATGTTAGCTTATTTATTTAATAATAGATTGGAACATTTTGTAATGTAAATGGTCCTTCTAAATGTTTGTGGTATTGCCAGGAAGAGGTACTAATTACTTGATTGCCCAAAGCTAAATGTTGTCAATTCCTTTCAAAGGTCCACGAGAAAGAAGATGACCTGGGCAAAGGTGGAAATGATGAGAGTACAAAGACTGGAAACGCCGGGAGCCGCTTGGCTTGTGGCGTGATTGGGATTGCCCAGTAAACATTCCCTGTGTGGCCGAGTCTCAGGTCATCTGCCATCCTGCTAAACTAGAGAGAAAACCATTAAACTGTAATATTAAAAATGTAACTGTGTGACTCCTCTTTGATTGCTTTAAGGACTTGTAATGAGAACTGATAATGTTCGGAAGATGTGTATAGTTTTATAACTCACTAAACTAAAACCGGTTTCCATGTGTCTCTGTTTTGCCAGACTTAATTACACATGGATATTAAACTCAAATTAATTCTCATTCAAGCCTGTGAGTAAACATGTGTGACACTTTTTGAGCCTATTAATGTATATAAGTAAAAATTCGAAGTCAGCCCTTATATCAGCAGCAGACTCAGTGATGCTAATTTTCATAGTACTGGGTTTTGAAAGTGTTTTATGTGATACCATCAAAATGTATGCCTGGCCTTGATTGTGGTAGCCCAAACTGAATTTGATCTTAGAAAACTTGCTGCCTTTTGTTAGTAGCTTCAGAGAAATTACCTAAAGCTCTCCATTTAGATTCAGAGTACCTAACTACTTTATTTTAAAATAAAAATGTTACACTTAGATGTCATAATTGAAGAAAAAGCCCTTTAGCCACTTGCATTGAACTCATAAAAGGTAAACATATAGCCTCAGCTAGCCCAAGTTAATTTAGTGCCTACTCTCCAAGGAAAGCTGGCACCATCTATTTTGGTGCTCTGGAAAAACATGGCAGCATGGGGCGGGGGGAGGGGAGATGAAACCAAATTTGACTGGAGGTTCTGACTAAATCCTGACTTTTACAGCACAAGTTAATGAAATCGAGTATCTCTTAATACATATGTACCTAAGAAAAACTCCCTTTTAAAGGAAACACTAACCTAACTGACTTGTGACTATCTGGAATAGTTCATTCAACTGAAATATTTCTGACAAATCGGGTGTAAGCCATAGTCCTGTTCATTCATAATCATAATTTTTCAAACACAGGTCACTGGGGGATTGCTAAATTGGAAAAGGATAAATTTTGGTGTTTCCAAGTTTTAAAACTGCTCATGGGAAGTGTTCATAAGTGGTTATGTTGAAGTTTGAGGTAAATAATACGTCACAGATTTCCTTAAAAGTAGCTTTGATGTGTGGGATGATTCAAATGCAGAGATGAAACATCTGCTGTAATCACAAACCAGCTGTATTGTTTAGTGGTTCATTTCTCAGTAGTTTTAGTTGGAGATTTAAGTCTGTCCTTGAAATCTGGGCACTGGATAATCAGGTGTGTTTTTTCCTTCCCACAAGTATACTAGAGCAAGAACTTAAAAATCTAAGTAGGATCAGCATAAAACTAAAACCTGAATTGCTAGCTACAAGCGAGTTCCCCCATCATCACAAAGACCTTGCATTTAAACTCAAGTGATACCATACAAAAAAGAACTCGGTACCCTAACGCTAAGCCAGTTTAGGAATTTTTTTTGCTTAACTTAGCATCCTGTGGTTTTAAAATCACATTTACTTATTTTTAGGGTTATGTGCATGAGAGGAAAATGAGTTCTTCCATCACTTGGGTGCCAGGGATCAAACCGAGGCCATCAAGGTTGGCAGAAAGTGTCTTCACTGGCTCAGTCATCTTCCTTGCCCTTAATGTAATTTTAGGAAAAAATAACTTTCAGACTAAATCAGTGGTTCTCAACCTGTGGGTCACAATCCCTTTGGGGGTCCCTTATCAGATAATTATGATTCCTAACAGCCAAGTTACAGTTATGAAGTAGCAATGAAACAATTTTATGGTTGGGGGTCACCACAGCATGAGGAAGGTTGAGCGCTGCTGCTGTAAATAAATCCCTGACTCTGGACAACTCACTTGTATGTCAGTGCTTTTCACTACTATTATAGCCTCAGTTTGGCTTCCAATGTAGCAAAAAGTTCAGTGTACCTCTTGGGCTATTGAAGATGGTACAGGAAACAGGCAAAGCTTACAAGTAATGTTACACTGTACCTAGTCTATAAAAAGCTTTCTGGTTCCATACATTAACCTTGACCTCACTTTACATCTTGGAAATTTTAATGGGATGACTATAAACAACATACTCAACATTCTAAATAAGTAATGCCCAGGCAATCAGGTAATTTGTAGTATAATATTGGGAATCCAATTATTTCCCCTAGCAAATCTCTCTTTACAAATTAATTACGGCAACATTACCACAAACCCAATGGGGAAAAAGATCTTTCTTAGTTTAACATTAAGACCACTAATCTTTACCTTATGATCAAAATATTAAGTCAGAAGAATAAAACTCGTGTTGGCAAATACTACGTCTTTTTTCTTATCAAAGAAGTCTAACTTAGACTCTAATACATCATCAACAGCTCAAACTTCAATGGTTAACATCCTTTTCCACCTTAATGCAGTGTATGAAGAATAGCACACATTAAAGTTTGTTACGAAAATAGAGTTTATTAAAAACATCCCTATTGTTTGAGGAGCTTTCACCGTTACCTTGTCTTAAATTAAAAAAAAAAAATAGAGAGCACTTCTAATTAGGATTTGTAAACTTTTAAAAGTCAAAACTTTTAAAAAGTTACAGCAAAAAAGGGTAATATATCTTCAGTATTTTTTGTTATTTTGTGGCTATTTTTAAATAGAAGGGAAGCAATCAAATTGCTTACAGACCCCACCAACTACTGTGAGGTGATGTAGCAGGAGCAAATATTATACAGCATCTGTACACCTCAGCTCTACACCCAAGTGTCCTGTCAGAGTCTGTCAAATCCAGTCTCTAGCGAGGAGCCTCTGCTGCTGAGCCAGAATCCTTCTCAGGTTCAACGGATGAGGTAGCCTCAGCAGGTGACTCTTCAGGTTTTACCACTGTGGCCATGGCCTCCCCCTGATCAAGTTCAGAAACAGTGTCTACGTTTCCCGCTTGGCTAAGGGGAGGTTCACTGGCTTTGCTACCACCTGCCCTGTCTGGGAGCTCGTGCTTCTCCTTCCGATTCTCTTCCTTCTCTCTACGGGACTCTCTATCTCTAGAATCCCTGTCTCTGTCCCGATGCCCACTAGAGCGTCTGTTTCTCTCTTCCAAGTCTCTGTGTCTGTCCCGGTCAGGGCTCCTTCTCCCCCACTCTCTCCTTTCACGGTTACTATTATCTCTATCATCGTTACGGTTCCCATACCGTTCCCGGTCATTTTCCACCCTATTTCCAAAAGATCTTCTTCCAAACCTTTCTTGGTCTCTACCTGAATTGAACTGCTGTCTGCTATCATTTCTAAACTGCTGTGGCTGCTGCTGAGCTGGCGCTGGCTGCTGGGATGGTGGTGGCTGCTGTGGCTGTGACTGTTGTGGTGGTGGCTGCTGCGGCTGCTGCTGCTGCTGCTGCTGTGGTTGTTGCTGCCTTCCATCTCTGTCTTCTGGTCCTCCTGGGCCTGGCCCTGGGCCCCCAAGCCCTGGCATTCCACCAGGCCTAACGAAGGGGCCATGTGGTGGAAAGGGCCCTTTCATTCCATGAGGTGGGGGCATAGCAAAGCCCCCTGGTCCTGGAGGCGGACCTCTGTGCATCATGTGAGGTGGCATGGGGCGAGGTGGCATCATAGGAAACCGCTGCAAGTGAGGTGGAGGCATCCCTGGGGGGCGCTGGAGTGGGATCAGGCCAGGTCTGGCACCAAGAAGACCAGTAGATGGTGCCTGGAGCCCAATTACAGGACCAGGTGCAACTCCTTGAGTACCTGAAGATAACACAAAGGAAAATGTAAATGTCTATTTTTAGTTGTCTCCTATGGAGTTGTTAAAAAAAAAATACAATTCAGCTCTGAATCAGTTTCACTCTGAATTCATGCTGAACTAAGGCCACATTAGCCAGTGACAACCCAGGTAAGCAATGGTAGATTCATTGTTTAGTTACCCAATACAGGCAGAGGCCAAAAAACTCTGCAAGAGGAATTGTACACTGCAGTTCTCATCAGTCTTCTTCTCTAGCAGCCTCCCTCAGAAGCTGTTACCAACACTCAGGACATAAAGGCATGTATTTACTGTTGGCCGTCAAGACAGCAGGATGTGTTCTCAAAGTTTACAATCGGATCCCATGTCCTAATGTGCCTACTCTGAAGAAGAGAGGCCAAGGGCTCAAAGCATCTAGTCAAGATTTCATGTTCTACTACTTCCTGTGGCTATTATACAGTGTTCATCATTGTTCCAGGATCTATGATGAAGACCCACCCCCCACACACACATACAAAGCTTCTTTTTCATTTTTTTCTAAGCATTGTTCAAAGTGTCATCTGGTAGGTCACCATGAGGGCTGGACCCTGTGGAATCCATCCTCAACCACACACCTTCTACTCTTCCCCCACAGGCAGTAAGACTGGCCAAGCTGGCGCTCTTTAAAGTCCTGCTCATTGTCTTTGTTTCTGGTGTGCAGGAGAGCCTGCTCCTTCTGGCCCAAGAATCATGTTAAGTTCAACCCAGCATGTACAGCAGCAGGGAAAAATAAGGATTTGTTTTAGTCCTGAAAAGCAGGTATCACATCTATTTCTTTCCAAATACAAAGAGCAAAAGTCACTATGATAAAAAGCTATTCTGATAACAGAAAACGCTCCAGATAGTAACAAGTAATGCAGTAGCGGGTAATAAGTCACATCATTTGCCCATGTACACAGAAAAATCTTTGAGAAAGTCCTCCAAGTACACAAAGGTGAACATTAGTCAGGAGTTACTTTTAATTTTAGGGTGTGTGTGTGTGTTTCAAGACAGGGTTTCTCTGTGTAGCCCTGGCTGTCCTCAAACTCACAGAGATCCACCTGCCTCTGCCTCCCAAGTGCTAGAATTAAAGGTGGTGCACCACCACTGCTTGGAGTTACTTTCCATACACACTTAAGTGTTCCAAAATGAGGAGAGTAGTACCTGTCACTTAAAATATGACAGAGTTCAGTGCCTACTGAGGTAACTTGGACACCATTATTCCACACATTTTGTTTAGTAAGGTGATATTCTAGGACTAAGCAGAACATTTTAAATCCATGTTCTTCCATTATCAATTATGCTTTAAAGTCAACTTTAGTAGCTGAGAATTTAAAGCCAATGAAACTCCCAATGTAAGGTTGTAAGTTGAGAAGCCCTATGAAATGGGTAAATGTGGCAAGGACTTTCTGAATGTTACCAGAAAACCCTAGACAATAAAAATACTACAGACTATCAGCTAGACCAAGACCAAAATACTCAAGTAGCAAACCCAGTCAGTGCTTTCTGTGCACTGAGTTACTAGAAGAGTTTGTTCTCAGGACTAAGAGAACTGATGTGTAGTTAGGTGGGTGTGTTATCTTCCAGTGCTCATCTGTAGGCTCATGGGAACCATCTCAAAACGCTCGAAGAACTCAGACAAGCCTGAGAAATCAAAAGTCAGCCTCAGGCCAGGCAACGGGGAGTCCTTAACAGCCAAACTGACTACGGATGGAGGATGCAAGGCCAACTCCACATCACAGAGGATAAAGTGAGAACCTTTATTAAACATACTCCAGAGTCTCTAGGACTTATTAATCCTTAACAGAGTGGATTTGAAGATGCACAGGGATAAACTGGGTCAATAATCATGTATTTAAACTTCCCATAAAGTACAAAACACACACACACACACACACACACACACACACACACACACACACACACCACCTGCCCATGTGGATGTTTCTATCTGGCATTTGCTCTAAATATCAGACAAATCCTTCTCATATTGTCAACTGGGAAGATGTGTCAGATGGGATGTCCTCTGGGAGTGTGGAGAAGCAGTAACACTTATAGATCACATACACTGCGGGCCTCAGACAATGGATAACCTCAGTTCCCTCCCCCCTTAACTGCAGCTCCTTTTGCTGTTTTTGCAGTAAAAATGCACTACCTCTGTCATAAAGGATATAATTAAATGTATACAGTGAATCCTTTAATAGGCAACACAGGTGATGTTAACTTTTGCTAGGGAATCTTTAGGCTGGCATTACACACCAGTGGAATACAGAAAAGATACATGAAGTAAAAAAAATGAGCTGGCCACAATTAGGTTTATCTAGAGTAAGCTAAGTTTTGTAATTATAATTAAAAAAAAAAACCCAAAAAACTAACACACCAAAACTTTACTATTAACTCATATAAGTTTGAGGATTAAAAAAAAAAAAAAAGTCTTCCTTTAAATTTCAAATGCTACAGATGGTGCAGCCAGGTAACAGTAAGAGAGGGCTAGACTGACAGAATGTGTGGACCTGAACAGCAATCAGAGAAATACAAACCAGTACGGGTAGGGAAAGGTGTGATGGAGGGAGGGGTTAGGAGATTTAAAAACAGCTTAGTACTTCAGTGAGGCAGGGGGCGTACGATTCAAGTGAACTGCAGTAGGATGACCTTGAATGCAGAGAGGAGACCCTAGCTACAGACAAGGCTTCTGAAGCTGAGGAGGGCAAGGCAATACAGGGGTCTTGAATGCCACGATAAAGAATCTGGTCTTTCCCTAATTAGGGGAGGAAACCAGAGTGGGATCCTGAGCAGATGAATGATCCTGTTTTGAAAGAACTTTCTGCTAAGTGGTGTACAGAAAGCAAAGAGGGTCGGACTGTTAGGTTCTTACCCCCAAGAATCAACAGAAGGGTGAACTGTAAGACAGGAATTAGTGTAGGAGACACTGAGGACAGCCAGTGGGCAAGACTGAGTTCTGGGATTCAGAAACTCAGATCACTGTGTGGATAAAGGGGCCAATGCAAGATCAAGAATGCAACAGTAACTCTTTTAGGAGATGAATGAGATTTGTCCTTTTTAACAGAGCCCTTGGACAACCTTGCTAGATGTGTGTAAGCAGCAAATCACGTACACACACAGTGCTCAGCAGAGCAGAGTCACAGCACTAATACTGGCCAATACTAAACAAAAAAAAAGCTCAGACCTGGGGAACTAACACATCACATACACTTAGGAATTTCTAGGAAAACAAGGTTTGGGAGCAGGCTGGGGGGAAAACAATCCAAATGCCTGCCTGTAATCCCAGAACTCCGAATGTGGAGGCAGAAGGATGATGGGTGCCAGGCTAGCCAGGGTTATAGAGCAAGTCCGGGGTGAGGTGGTGGTGAGGGAGACAACAAAACAAAAACAGTTACACTTAAGTTTAACTAAAAAAATAACCGAATTGGCCCATTTCCTAATGATCCCCAAAATGGCTGCTTCACAATTAAATTACAAAGAGACACAGCCATGGCAGAAGAGATCTATGAGAAGGGTCAGGGAGGGATGTCAAGAGGTGCTCTGACACCAACGTGAAAAGGATAAACACAAGGGCTTTCAGCTGAGGCCCACTGAGGGCACGAAACTTAAGAAACATAAATGATCTTTAAAGAACAGCAGGGATCTCCTGTGTGCGAGCGAGTAAGCGAGGCGAGGGCGAGAAGCACAAGCGCAGAAGCAAAGACTCTGCCCTCCGTCTCTCCTGGCCCGCCTGGCCTGCCTTCCACTCTGCTGCAGCCACTGCCTCTAGTGGGAAACGGAGGCTTCATCACTAGTAACTTCCCCTCAATTCAAATCCCAACTATCCTGCCCACGCTCCTCTTGGAGAAGTCCTCAACAATCTCCTTCCTCTTAGTCCCCAATTTCCTCTCATCAGAGCCATGGAAATTTCCCAACACCAGTTTGATATTTTTAAAATATCAAGCATGTGGCACACTGTGATTGATCACAGGGCCTTACACTGAGCTACGCCTTCACCCCAGTATCCATTTGAAATCTGGGTCTAAGCATGGCTGCCAGTCCCTCCAACCCCAAGCCCCTTAAGAAATTTCTTAACTACAGAACACGTTTCCCTCTGACCTCCCATTTTCCCAGTCAATTCCCACTCCCACATCCAGGGTATCTATTTCATGGGTTAATGTCCCTCCTCAGTTTACTTAGAGCTGGTTTGCTTTATGATAACTTTCCCACATCCTATAATGTGCTCATATAGGAATTTCAAGCCAATGGTTCTTGCACATTCAGAATACCTTCATTATCCTTAGAAGAAAGCCTGTTCTATTAATCAACTCCCTCTCTCCCAGCCCAGCCCACCCAGCTATTTTTTTATTTCTATGAACTTGCCTGTTTATCAACATTTCAAAAAAAAAAAAAGAAAGAAAAAAGAAAAGAATCATACAATGTCATACAATACGTAGTCCTCTGTGAGTGGCTCCTTCCACTTGGCATTTTTCCAAGGCTCATCCAAGTCGTGTAGCATGAATAAGTACTTATTATCAAATAATCTTCCATTACATGAATACGCCATTTTCTGTTTTATTGTATCTTTTTTTTCTTTGCAAAACCACCTTCTGTTACTTCCCCACGCAACCCGCAAACCTTCAGAAAATACTTGCACCTGTGTTCATTTTCTGCGCGTCTGTGGCCATATCAAAGCCCCTATGCTGGACCCATTCTTCCCTCTCAATTAAGCTACTGTATACTATCCTTCCCTTTCCTTGTATTAGGTTCTCCAGAATCACCCACTATTTAGGAATAAAAACAAAGTAACTCCCTTTCTCTGCCATCTTCCTCCAGTATCCACCCCTATGTGTCTCCATGAAGCAACTCTCCCCAGGGATCTAAGAAAAAAAAAATCCCATCTATATCCAATTCTTTACCCCCATTTTCTCCTGTCCCTACATCAGGATCCCAAATCCATCATCCAATGAAACTCTTCCTGAGCCACTTAGAGCTTTCATTTTGTTAA